CACTTTCCTTTGTCACTTTCTGTCTCCACTTTCCTTTGTCACTTTTTGTCTTCACTTTCCTCTGTCACTTCTTATCTCTACTTTCCTTTGTCACCTCCTATCTCCACTTTCCTCCGCATTTCCCTTATTTTTTCTGTCACCTTCAGTTTTCCCTGTCACACTAGCCCACTCTCAGCATACATAAGTTTTGTAGCTACTGAACATAAAGCAATTATTGGGTCAAGTAGGTCTGCCACACTTAAGTAGGCTTGGTACTGTACCCACAAGTAGACTACAAACCAAATCCCTAATTGTAATTGTTTGAAATGAAATATATATCCATTGTCAGTAAGTGGTCTGTTCAATGGTCTGACTAAGATAATGGGTGAGGTCCCCTGTTGCACTTCCTCCTGTTTGTTAGCCTCCTGGTCACTCACACACAGAGTTGTTTGTAACTGGACATCTGACAGACATCTTTTTCTCAAGTCTGCCACATACTTTAAGTCAGAGTTTGTTAAACAAATGTTTTTTCTGTTTCCGAAGTTTTACTGAATGCATGCACTTCATCTTATGTAATTTCACAGGAAGTAGAAAACACATTTCTGGTCATTGGAGGTTGGACACTTTGTGTATGTGTATCAAATTTCTGCTGTACATCAGACAAACTGGTCACATGCTGCCGAGAGAAAAAGGTTAGTTTTGCTTTCTAGTCTTTATCTAAATTACATGACATTGTATTTGATTTTAGTAAATAAAAATGGGTCTAAAATATACAGTATTCACACTATGTTTCAATTAAATTGCATTTAGTATCCAACAATGTATGACTTCTAAGTCGGTAGGAATTATTTTCACCAAACTTGTTCATACATTTATTGTGTAACAAATTGCCTGGGTATTGGAAAAACCTGGGGGTAAGTTTTTTTTATTCTTACACAAATGTAACGCTGCCTAGGAATATCACACAATTTTTTCAAATTAGAATTAAATCATTACTATATTTATTCACAAAGATGAAGCATTCATTCCATCTGTAGCATGAGCCCTATACACCTTTTACAACAATGAAAGAAATAATGATTTGTGCGTTACTTTTCACACTGACGCTGTTAATACTCTATCGTAAGGAAAACTCAAGGATCACTATATATACGTGCTGCGTCTTGTGTCCAATAGTGTCTGCTGACACACTAGCAAAGACCAACTTCGTGTGCTGTACATATCCAATGTCTTGTGTTCGCCAATGTAACAATTGCTATACCCAGCACAGGTCAAAAAGAGCGATACACTACTGGCCAAGACAATACCTTTAGATAGTACTCTGAAGCTTCAGATTGACATTGATAAACATGGAAGTCAGTTGACCACAGCGGTGAATGATAAGTCTATGAAAGCAAGTCAGTCTACTGGACGTATATAAACATGGAAGTCAGTTGACCACAGCAGTGAATGATAAATCTATGAAAGCAAGTCAGTCTACTGGACGTATAAACATGGAAGTCAGTTGACCACAGCGGTGAATGATAAATCTATGAAAGCAAGTTAGTCTACTGGACGCATAAACATGGAAGTCAGTTGACCACAGCGGTGAATGATAAATCTATGAAAGCAAGTTAGTCTACTGGACGCATAAACATGGAAGTCAGTTGACCACAGCGGTGAATGATAAATCTATAAAACCAAGTCAGTCTACTGGACGTATAAACATGATTTGCTACAAAGTGTCCCAGAACCTCAA